TGTATTTTAATGACCACACCAGAAACATATGTGAGTTATTCATCTCTAAAAAATATTATACATCTTTGATACACATCTACATAGCCTTTGTTCAAACTCATTTGAAAAAATAACCACGATTGTGAAGTAATTGTTCCAATAAGGGAGACGTACTTATGAGTGGTGACGAGTAGAGAAGGCGAAGACGAGCAGTGATTAAGTGGAGAAAGTAAGGATGTATTGATAGACATGTATGTGGGATTACTTATATGATTGAAAGGCTTGATATTGTTGATTGAAAGGGTTGTCAAATAAATATGTGATGCTATAGAATGTAGAATACATAAAGCCTGTTTCCAAATGTATGTAGGCTTGATTAATTGGTTATCTTGGGACGTTACAAGAGGCAATTCAATCTAGTGGTTAATATTATGGAAACATAACACTAATAAATACACAAAATCTAATTGTATATTCAATAACATAACGCTAACATAAGATTATAAACAATATCAATATACATGCTTGCTCTAAAAGCATCATTCACAAGTGTTGTATTTTAATGACCACACCCGAAACATATGTGAGTTATTCATCTCTAAAAAATACTATACATCTTTAATACACATCTACATAGCCTTTGTTCAAACTCATTTGAAAAAAATAACCAAGATTGTGAAGTAATTGTTCTAATAAGGGAGACGTAATTATGAGTAGTGACGAGTAGAGAAGGCGAAGACGAGCAGTGATTAAGTGGAGAAGGTCAGTATGTATGGATAGACATGTATGTGGGATTACTTATATGATTGAAAGGCTTGATATTATTGATTGAAAGGGTTGTCAAGTAAATACGTGATGCTATAGAATGTAGAATACGTAAAGCCTATTTCTAAATGTATGTAGGCTTGATTAACTGGTTATCTTGGTTAACCCAAACCCGAAAAAAAAATATAACAACCTGACGCTAACTATATTTCGAGTTTTATCTGAGTTAAACCGAAGCTGACCCTATTTACGTAGTTTTGGTTCGTTTTTTATCAGGTTAAGTGGGTGCAGACATTCTTGATACACCCTAACTACACTTCCACCGTAACACTCTTATTTATGAGACTTTCCATATCCCTATTATCTTCTTGGATAAATTTGGATCCACACATCACAACTCATTTAACTGCTACCTAATAATAGTTTTCTTTTAATTTCAAATGAAAACTTCTTATAACACAAAAATTGTGTGTCCGACGTCCACTTTAACAAATTGTCCTTATCATGGTGGGTAACATTTGTCTTAACACTCATTTCTTATGGATCACGTACCACAACTACAAGCAACACTCATTTGTGTATAAATCCTTCACATATATACTAAATCTATTCCTTTCTCATTACACTCCCTATTAAAATATCGCAACATTTTCTCCATCTTAATTGTGTTGATATCTACAATGTTGTCACTAAGTGTCCAACATATCATTAAGATCTGACTTATTCTCTACCACCAACACTTTATCATAGCCAATAACAAACGTCAAAGCATCATGTGAATCTTGTATGAGATCTCGTCTATGATCAAAGTAAAGAGAGTCAAACCATAATGTACCCCACTTTATATTTGGAAGGACTTTTTGTCACTAGCAAGAATATCGACACATGTTGAAGACCAACAATACGTATCGTGAATAACGATGACATGTATCTCCAATGCCCATTTGGATTCAAGGTCCTCTATATTGTTTATGAAGATTTTGTCTTTTCCAAGTCAATAAAAACATATGTAAATCCATATTCAATTCGTTATATTTCTGCATAATTCATCAAAGAAGGGGGATCGCCTTAGTTGTCGACCTCCTTAACATGAAGCAAAATTGATTTTATGATATTGTTCTATCATGTTGCAACCTATGATCTGTCACTGTCTCCTAAATTTTTTGAAGTATTACCTTTGGAAACATATGTGGAGTCCAATGTTGTCTCTACAAAAACAAAAGAGTCATGAAAACTCCAACATAAATGAAGACATAAGAGACTGTGTCGTAGCGATGTGGATACAAGAACCCCCCCCCCCCCCCTGTTTAGAAAGTGAAGCTCAATGAGGTCAGATAAGGATGTGTTAAGCCACGAAGGTCCAAACACTAACTTTGATACCATGTGAGATATATGTACAGTGTCTCTACAAAATGCAATATGAAAAAAAGGGGAAATTCTAATATATATATATATATATATATATATATATATATATATATATATATATATATTCATTTATAGGATCGTGTCACAGTAATTCACCCATTCCTATCTCTCGATAAACTCTTGTGGAAAAACAATCTTAAACTCCATGTATATTTTACATGACCAAATAACTTAATGTCTTTATATTTGTTTCAACTTTAAGTAATAATCATTTTAAATAATCAGTTAACTATATCTAAAAAAAGCAAATCCTATTTATCTTACTTGGTGTTGTTCAGGAAATATATATATATATATATATATAATATATATATATATATATATATAGATATATATATATATATATATATATTAATTTGAGACCATGCTAATTTTGTGATACCGTGAGACTAAATGTAAAAATAATTTTAAAATGAAAAATAAAAGGAAAAATCCGAATATTCTTTTTTTAATTATTATTTTCGTCACTTTAATTATCTAAAAAAATAAATAAAATAAAAATAAAAATAAAAATAAATTACTTTTTTTTTAAAATACGTGAAATATTCTAATAGAATATTACACTGTAAATATTTTAATGTGATTTTAGAATGTTAGAGCATTTAAAAAATATTTTTTTTTTTTATTTTTTAATAATTTTTTTGGTATTTTTTTAATCTTTTTTGGAAAATATAAATGACGAAAATAATATTTGAAATTTTTTTTTCAAAAATTTTCAATTATTTTGCATTTTAAAAATGTTTTTTTATCTACAAAATGAGCCACCTAGAATTGCGTCTCACAGTCTCACAAAATTAGGCCGTTTCACATGAAACTAATCATATATATATATATAGATATATATATCTATATATATATATATATATATATATATATATCTATATATATATATATATATGACCGGTCTAGAAGGATGCGTCATACAAAGATTCATATGATATATTGTATCTCCAAGAATTTCCATATTGTGGAAAAAATTAGTAGCAAAACGACTAAAAAGTTAAAATCAATTGCCGTTATGAAAGGATGTGTGGTATGAAAATTCATATGATGGATTCTTTGTCTGAATCCATAAAAATTTCCGAAGTTTGGGAAAAAATAAGTCACCAAAACGATTGGAAAATATTACACAACAAAAAGACCAAAAAGATATAATCAAGTATCGTTATGAATTACAGAAATGGTCCCTATGATATAGTTAATTTTTTTAGTTTTGGTCACATTTTTAGTTTTGGTCGATCGTCGAAAAAATTGATGGGTTATATCCTTGTGGATTTTGAAAACTAAATTAATTGTCCTTCGTCCATATAAAAAGACTAAATTATATTTTTTTTCAATAATTTATAATTTATAATTAAAGAGTATAAAACAAATTATAGATTATGGGCTCATCTCAACCCATCGTACATCCCACCAACCCTACCCCACCTCCTTCTTATGTAGTAGATTGTTTGAGAAAAAAACCTATTGGTATTGCAAAAAATCGAATGTCGATGTTTTAATGTTCTCACGGTAACAAGGTTTTCCATTGAAACAATTGTCAAAAGGAACCTATCAAAGTTAATAGATAAAGATATGTTCATGTTCTCATGGTACCCAACCAAACTTAATTCCTTGAAAAAGAAGTAGATTTTAATGACTTTTGTGTTCAAAATTTGGTATCAGTGACAAGTTTTGTGAATTGGTGACTAACTTTTTTGTTGGCTTTTAATCAATCCTAACGGAAGATTATTGCGCTATACATAATATGTCCAAAACTAGAGAAGATAGTTGCGATTACTTACTATAGTGATTGCTAAATCCATAAGAGATGCAATAGGTCCTAGTGACGGTTTCGGTGAACTTCCAATTCTAAAATTATTTCCCGCAGTCCATTGCAACTAGTATACAATCATTAAAAATTACATACTAAATGACAACGACTACAAACTGTTCGATGAGATGTCTACATGAATACATCACATTTAATTGTGTTATTGAAGAAGGGTAGTAACAAATGTAATGAAATCAAACGCACACCATAGAGTTTACTCAAATGGAGGAGGTTGATGAGCCAAAACAGACATCGAGATTAAGGAAGAATATTGTGGTGGCCTAGATGAGGGGGTGTAAACGTCACCAATTCCATATAGGTGAGAGAAGATGTTGATCATTTTGGAGAGTGAAACAATGATGGCGAACAAGTGTGTCACACGCGGAGGAGAAGGAGGGTCACCCATGAATATATGTTATTTTGTATGGTTTATAGGAAAAAGAATGAAATTCGACAACAACTTATAGAAAGAGATTTTGTGAACGGAGAAGCAATAGGTTTCTAGATTCAGATCGACGAGGAAGTTTCTAGTTTTGGGTCATTTGTGAACGGAGACGGTGGTTTGAGTAGTGACATATGCGGAATGGATGGAGGCGGTGGTTTGGAGATGTAGCCGACAAGGGTGGGTGGGTATGGGGAGGTATATCCTTATTTAATAATTTTATTACTAAAAATTATAAATAGGTATATATAAAAAAGTTAAAAATGGTATAATAGTCTTTTTTTTTATATGCATTAGGACCAACACTATAATTTTCTCATACCACAATGATAGGATTATCAGTATTGTAAAGGTTGGACCAAAGGCGAGAATATAACCAAACCATAGGGACTTAAACTATAATATATTCAAATATTTATGATATATTTTTCATTTTGCATCCAAAGAATTTCCACATTGTCTGGAAAAAATAATGGAATAAGTCGCCAAAACGACTGAAGAAATTTTAATGGAATAAGTCGCCAAAACGACTTGAAGCATCCTTTTTGTGCCACTAAACAAAATAAAAAAAAAATGGGCCCTTGGAATAACGCATTATTTCTTCTTGCTATATTCATGGGAATTCTTAATTTTTCCCTAGCCCAAAACTCGCCACAAGACTTTGTTGATGCTCATAATCAGGCTCGAGCTCAGGTTGGTGTGGGGCCCATGACTTGGGATAGTAATGTGGCTGGTTTCGCAGAAAATTATGCCAATCAAAGACGTGGTGACTGTCAGTTGGTGCACTCCCAAAACAGTCCTTACGGTGAGAATCTTGCTATGACTTCACTGGTGTAGATGCTGGTGAACTTGTGGCTTGGAGAACAGGTTGATTATGATTATAATTCGAACACTTGTGCTCCAGAAAAGATGTGTGGGCATTATACTCAAGTTGTTTGGCGTAATTCGGTTCGTCTTGGTTGTGCAAGGGTTCAATGCAATAATGATGCATGGTTCGTGACATGCAACTATGATCCACCCGGCAACTATGTTGGAGAGAAACCTTACTGAAGTTGCATACTATATGAAATAATCCGCACTCGCATGAACTATAACTTTCGAGTGCATGATTAAGTAAGTAAGATTTGAAATATATATTTCAAGTGATTGATATAATAATTGTAATAATTGGATGGATGTAAGAAACATATGTTCATATATGTTCTTCCATTTTTTTTCGTTCTTGTTTTGTCCTGGATCTAAGCATGCTTCAAGATTTATGAAGTACGATTGTAAACGTATATATCCAATATATAAATACGCATAATAAACAGTAAAACTTCGAATGCTTTATGCATATAATCTTCGATGTTTCGTAGGTGTGACATGACGAAGTTGGTTACACTTTATGCTTACAAGTTACAACCCTTATCAATACATATAATAAACTGAAGTTCCCTGATAATGTTCATTTCACCCCTGTAATTAGACTTGCACAAAAAAACCGGTTCACGAGCCCGTACAAATCGAAAACCGGTTCACCATCAACCGGTCCAATATGAAAGAACTAACAATTGATATTTGCTCACAAAATGGAATGCTTCATTCATGAGGCCGACTGGCTTTAAATACAAATAAGAAAATAACTAAATAACAATAAAATCGGAAAATACTAAATCTAAATAGAGATAATACTAAATCTAAACAGATAGCTAATGACCGAGTAAACCACACGTGCAGCCCATGCTTATCCAGTCAAGCTTTATTTGAATTCTTTTATTTGCAAAAGATAAATATCCCAACACAATATGAACCGAACCGATGCACGAACCGAACTGCCGGTGTAAACCAATTCGAAAATATTACTGTTACTACTAGTTTAGAACCGGTTTCGTCGGAACCGGTTTAAAACTGGTTTTTCCAGGTGACTTTGTTACCGATTTTTTTGTCTTATTCTACTGGCTATATAGCTATTTGAGGCTGTAAGCGGATCGAATTTTGGTCCCTTTTTCCATATTTACCATTCCTTGATAGTATATATAGGTATTAGATGTTGAGGCTTAACCAAACCACTAAAAAACTTTATTAGATCAACAAATGCTCTCAAGTCAAGCAATGGATTCAGCTTTCGTTTGTGTTGGAGATTCATCAAGCAATATTACCATTGTTGGCATCAAAAAACCAAAGAGAAATATGGAGATTTGGGAAAATTTATGATTTGTATATAATTTCGAGCGGTCCAAATAAAGCGCGATACAAGAAATGTGGTGCCTTTTGCAAGGAAGAAGAGAAACACTGAAAACTCATATGAACAAGAGATACCCATCGGTGAAATTTGGCCCGCGACATAATCAAACAATAATGACGAAAGATACTACATTGTGGAATTAGGAAGGTGCTAAAGTTCGGGATAGGATGACGAAGTTCGTGATTAAAAAATGCATGTCTTTTGACCACTTCAACAATAAGCGATTGACTTCATTCATACAAGATACTCTCTAACCGCGATATTGACATGTGAGTCGTACTTCCCTTAGACACGATTGTATTGAATTGTGGAAACTTGCAAAAATTGAAATGATTTTAGGATTTCAAGTTTTAGAAACAAATGTAAATTTGACAAGTGATGTCAATTTTTATATATTTCCAATATAAAAATCCAAAAAATAATTAAAAAGACATGAAAATTGCTCCAAAAATATGTCTAAATTCAATATCAATACACAAACAACGTACATACACAAATATGGTACACATACTGTTTAGTGGGTTTTTTTAAAACACATGTTCACGAGCAAAGTGACATTGAATCTCATAATGTTTTGTATGTTAGTTGAAAAACATTGTTGTGAGCAATCTGTATAGCAATTTGATTGTCAAACCCAAGATATAAACAGGATACGAAGAAAAGGTACATAGTGATAACATCGGCGGAAACCAATGTGTATTTATAAAGATCGTATGCAATGATTAAGTGTGTACCAATAAAGTAGATCGATGACAGTTTTCATGTACGAGGAGCAAGGTTGTAGAACTCGTTACTCGGTACCTGTTCGGCCGACTATCGAGTAGCGAGTACTCACGAGTACTCGGATTCGGTAATTCATGTAGAAATATTTTTAGGGAACTTATATATGTTAAAATCATAAGTTAAAATCTTAATTGGATTGAAATATATAACAAAATTAGATACATGTGAATACACAAAAACTGAAAAACACATAATGGTCTCACTTCGTGAATAATTACTGAAAATTTAAGATATATTTATAGTAATGATCACATGTGTGTGTGTTAAATATTAAATCGTTACGTATATTATACATTTTATCGCCGATTTGACCGGGTTTTACAACACCACTCAGTTTAGTAAGGGGCGATCGGGGAGTACTTGGGATTCTGTAACTCACCTGGTAAGGGGTCGAGTAGCGAGTACTCAGAGGAGTAATCGGCCAACTCGGCGAGTTTTACAACACTGACGAAGAGCAAGATGCCTCTAGTAATGTGGATTCAACCTTAACATGTGTGATGCATGCTATATCATAGTAATTGTTTTGAATAGAAAGTATTCCTATATACCTTTACTACTATATAAAGCATATTATATGTTTCTTGAAAATTAAGAGGTACAACTATTATAACACCATGTACAATCTTATTAAGCTTGTAATGCAAATGTATACACGTACATCTGATTTGTAACTATTTATGTGGAAAATCCTAAACTCCTATACACATCTTCAGCCGTCGTTTCTCCTAAATTTTTTCCGTCTCCTTCCTAACCCTCTTCAATCTCCGGCAGGCCTCCGTAACCACCAGCCTTCTGATGTTGTCGCTACCTCCACCCTCTTGATGCCATCGTTACCTCCACCGACGCCACTCTACCACCGCGCTTCTACCTTAAGTCGAAATGAGAAGTCCTAAGTCTATCTCAACGCCACGATCAATGCCACCGTCACACATCGTTTACTGGAATTCCTAACCCTAAAGTGGCTCCACCATCACCACCAGGCATCACCACTTAATCCTAAATCCGTTCTCATGAAACTTTCTCTCTTAAAATCTATACCTAGATACCACGAATGACCATATGTCTCCGTCACCATCATTTAACTCCTTCCCCACCTTTATCGATCTACGATGTCACCATCTCCTTCGTTAGACACTACCTTCGAAAATCAATGTTGTCACCAACACTTTCACCAGTGGTTTGTAGAGTATCTTTTATAAACTCATTTTGCTATTACATCATCAAATGAACAAGAACCTAAACTGGTAAGCATCTTCCCATTAATTTCACTTTTGATTTCTCATAGATCTTATTTTTCAGATTTCTCCGATTCGGTCTTTTTGTATGAAACTTTTTTATGCTTCCTTGAAGATATATATATATATATATATATATATATATATATATATATATATATATATATATATATATATATAACAATACCTTTCCGAGTGAAGATTCATCTGACTCTTTTGCTTGATGTCGTTCTCAGATCTGTCGTTGCACCACCATCTTTCTCTCTTTCACCCTCTTTGTCTCTCACTAAAACCGACACCATCTATTTCTATCACTCCCTTTTTGTGTCTCTCTAACAAAAGTCCTAAATCTATGTGTGTTTACAGGTTGTGGAATGGTAGGAAGATGAAATTAAAGACCCAACAGATGAAACCTTATGGAAGTCCATCGCTAAAGGTCAACTTTTGTTGTTAATCTTCTTTTTTCTACAATGTTCTTGACATCATGACATGTGTGTGGATATTTTAATACTGATTTCGCTATTTCTATGTATAAATAACCCAATGGTTCAAGAAACAACAACATATGTATATACTTTCCTTTTTTTTTCTTACCGAGTGTATCTTAAAGTTTTGGGTGTGTTGATTTATTCAAGTTTACACTTATATAGTTTTGAGTTCTGAGTTCATCCTCTATGCTTATGATTTTTGAATTAAAAAACTGAGGTAAATATTATGGGTTTCTAATATAGTGATATTACTCATTATTTTTCTGGAATTATAAATTTTATGATTTATAATATTTTGTTCTGGAAGAACATTTGATCCGGAAGAACAGGACCTGTGAAGCTTTTCATTCTGATCCGAGAACTAAAGCAAGCGAGTACTGTTTGCGTAAAGATTCAATTTTATAGATTTCTTCCTTTCATACTTCTCATTGACGATATTTTTTCCATTGTTTGTCTGACTTTTAACAAAGAAATGAGAAGAAGGGTTTTGTTTCTTCATAATTTTTTCTTCCTCGACACTTTCAGGTATATGGTTCCTCATCTCGAATCTATCTTGCCTTTTTTTTATATCTTAAATCTTAGAGTAATTTTATATATGCATATTGAGTTGCTCTATGATTTTGTTTCTATATGTTTGTTTTTAGTATGAACTAAAAGGAGTTTGTTTCATGATTTAAATGGGATAAAAGAAAGCCAATTAGCCAGCAAATGTGAGTAGTAGTTGTTTAGAGGAAAAAGAAATGGTAAACTGCAAAGAATGGTAACAAACTCTGGTTATATACTGTGCTCACTGGTAGTGAGTTTTTTGTTTTTGATCAAATATTTTTAATTTTCCCTCAAGGAAGTTTTTTGTTTTTGATCCATTGGGTGCAAGTCATTTGCAAGTTTATTAGTATATTTTTCTATAAAGATTCTAATTTTGAAATCTTTGTATGATTTCCTTCAATTGATTGGTACCAGGTAATTTGATGTAATCTGAAAATGATCTGAATATTTGGTTTTGTTTGCCAAAAAACAGATTTGAAGATGAGTATTGAACTTCATAGTTTCCATTTGAATATTTGTGTCTTTTAAAGGGTTTGTACATATTTGGCATTTGGCTGAACCATGGTTGCAAAAAGAGGGTAAAATCGGAACTTATGGTTTGAAGGTAATAGCTTGATCTTTCCATATTGCTTAGGTTGTATATTTATCTTTATTTATCTTTCCTGTTCTTTCTATTTTCGTATGTCTTGAATGCAATAAACTTTTATTGTTTATATCAAAGTGGTTACCACCTAAGCTTAGTTTATTGTTCACCCCACCGACTTTTTCCTA